TCGTATGCTGTGAATTTCATTACGCTTTTCAGGGCTACGCAAAACCCGCATACGTCGTTAAACTACTGAGAGGTTAGTGGACCCAGAAATCAAACGAACCTTTCCGAACCAGCTACTCGAGCGTCAGATATTAACGGCCACTGGAAACATATTTCCACAGTGCTACTCACAGCCGGCACTTCCTTTCCCAGTACAACCCAGCCAACCTTATCCAAATACTGGGTCTCTGGTAGGACGGTAGCTTTGCTAGGGGCCCATCGGCAGTTTCCTCCTGGACGCAACCACAACACCCGGCTGGTCATCCGACACCAGATAAAAGTGAGTGTCCATGCGGACCGGGAAGTTTGGCGGACCCGAAAGGCCAAAGAAATGAAAGATGCGAAGAATGCCTGAGACCTTCACAAACATCTCCACTTGATTTTCTCGACTGGTCCCCGGAACCTTCTCGTGATGGATACTATCAGGGACAAGAATGGCTCTCATATTCAGTAAAAAAGGAGTTTTGGACCGTATGGGCGACAATTTAATTGGCCGCCTACTACCCCCAATTCGGACTGCCGATCTTCAACAGAAAGATGCACTGTGAACCCACATTAGCCTCAGAGGTGTTCGACTGTATATTTTTACTCAAACGTCATTGTACTCCCGGCCCTGCTGTGTTCAGGGATGGCGGTGAATTCCTCAACTAGTGCCTGTCTAGGCTATTGGGAGGGAGTCCATCCCAGACAACTGAGTGAGTCAGGGATTGTGCCCATTTTCTAAATGGGTACTTGCAGTGAATGCAGCAACCAAAGAAGTGTCAGCTTGACTCTAGTTGTAACAAGTATTCTGGGGTCACTGATTCTTCGTCGTCTTAAGGCGCAAAGTTAATCCCTGATCCATGAGCATCAAGCGGGATTTCGACTGGGTAAAGGCTGCGCTGACCACATCCTCACATTCCGTCAAGTGTTACAGCAACGCCGTATGTACAGACGATCCACAATCTTGGTGTCCCTTGAATTCAAGGAGGCGTTCGATTCTGTCTATCGGCCAGTGCTGTTGACCACACTTTCTGAACAGGTTATATCCCAGAAGGTTGTAAACATAATGCGATCTCTA